AAACAAAAATTCATGTTATTTCTCAAATTACAAAGTCATTGAACTCCAATAACATAATACGAAAATTCATCGATATTGTTTTCAAAGAATTTCACATCACAAAGCATAAAACTTACAAATTTGATCTAGTGAATTTTATAACAAATCAAGCCATACGCATTTCATTTTAATTTACACATTTCAATGATCAATCATAAATTCATAAACTAATAAACACACAAAAACATAAGATAGAATTCTTCTAGTTACCTTAAACTTTTGAGAGGTTAAATGTTTCACTCCTCAATTACTCACTCTTAAAGCTTCAAAGAAGCTTGAATGATGCCAATGGTAGTTATTCTACAAGCATTTACCATGCAAAACATCAAAACCTGGCTATTTTTCACTAACATTTCATCATTTCTTAATACTCAATACCTATAAGGCTTCTTAACTTCCTTTAACTTTCATTAATAACATTGAACTCTTAAATGATCATTAATGAAACTATATTGTTTCCAATCATCATATTTATGAGAATTTTGGATATTTAATGTCCTCCAACTACCAATCATTAATACTAAGTTTACTTAGCTCACTTTACTCTCATTAACTCTATTTAAGTTAATGGGTTCAGACCCATAGCTTCTATGGACTAAAAATTATCATTACCAAACCTAACTTTTACCATCAAGAAAATGGAAGAAGAGAGAAAGATTTAAGTAAGGAAGCTTACCTTTAATGTTTATGAGCTCTAAATTATTCCTATAAATCAGTTTCTTCAAGCCCTAGCTTAGCTCTTTAGTCTCTCTCTCAGTTCCCTTTGTTTTCTCTTCTCTTTTGCTTTAGTTTTGTGACTTAATACAGTAAAAATTTAACCATGTGCTGCGACGGATGCACAATACACCACGGCGAATGGCACAGAGAGCCAAGTGTGTTGTTACACATGCACCATAATGGCCTATCCATAAGCCGTGGCACATGGCATAAAATCACTTTCTTTATAAATTATTCCTTTTTCATTCCCAAGTAACCCAATTCTCCTTCAGACCCACGTTTAAAACTAAAATTGAGACGAAACATACTCGTTAAGCCTCTCTAGCTATACACCTCACTAATACATTTAATTAGCCTATTTGACCTTAATTAATTTAATTTAAAATTAAAGATCTTACAAGTTGTATTTGAGTTATGAAATCTAAATTTGAATGTGATATGTTGATTTTGTGAGATGATATTAAGATGATACGAGTATATATAGCATGTTTATGTATTATCTAGAGTATTAATAACTAACTATATACATGATGAAATGCTATACATTATGAGTCTGACCATGTATGTGAACTTTAAAATGAGAACCTGCTCTAAAATATTTGCATATGTAAATTTGATGATCTAGATGCATGCATAAAGGTGGGAGTTTAATTGTTGGGGAGTTGTAAATATTATGAAAAATATATGGTCTACCTTATAGAGGTCACCTCTCAATAGTGATTTATATGAATATATATATACATATGTGCTTAGCTTTATTGCTTAGATTGGCAGTGTTTGTCTCATTGCTTGGATTGGCAGTGTTGGTTAGACATATCATGACATACTGAAGTTTGAGTAAGGGAAACCATGGTCTAAGCTAGGGTGAGGAAACCTTTGGCTGAGTAACCCTTTCTAAGTTGGAGACCAAAACTGGCCTAACAGTATATATATTAGAGCTACAGTGACTTGCCCATGAGTTCAGTCGAAGGTGATAAGGATGTTATAAGGGAGATTTGAGCAAGTTTACATAATAATTTTAAAGTCAAGGATTTAGGGGTTTTGAAATATTTTTTAAGGTAGTAAGGTGCCTAATAAACTTAAAGGAAAGTTTTATCGTACTGCTATCAGACCGGCAATGTTATATAGTAGTGAATGCTGGGCTCTAACGGGACAGCAAGAGCATAAAGTCGGAGTAGCAGAGATGAGAATGTTACGATGGATGTGCGGACATACACGTAAAGATAAAATTCGAAATGAGCACATACGTGAAAAAGTGAGGGTGGCACCTATTGAGGAAAAAATGGTAGAAAATCGGTTGAGATGGTTTGGGCATGTACAAAGAAGACCAAGGGAGGCACCAGTGAGAAGAGTGGAACATATAACTTTGAGTCCGATTAAGAGAGGTAGAGGAAGGCCTAAGAGAACACTCTTGGAAGTTGTTGAACGTGATCTCTTAATTAATAATATTTCTAAAAGCTTAATAAATGATAGAGCAAAATGGCGTCTTGCAATCCATGTAGCCGACCCCACCTAGTGGGATAAAGGCTTGTTGTTGTTGTTGTTGTTGTTGTTGAAATATTTTTTAAGGTTGGAAGTGGCTAAGTCTAATAAAGGAATTGTGTTAATCAAAGGAAGTTTGTTTGAGATTTAGTTTCAAACACTGTTAGTTTGAATGGTGCTAAACCTATATCTACCCTAATGGAATAAAATTTACATTTAACTTGTGATATAACAAAAGGAAAGAAGACGAAGAAGAAAGTTAAGAAAGAAAAGGCTGATTACTTTTTGACAAACCTTAAACCTTATAGGAAGTTAATTAGTAGGCTATTGTAGTTAGTTCATGCAAAAGCCAAAGAAATCTCATATGGATGCAGCAATGATGGCAGTTTGATATCTTGAAGGGAGTCTAAGATTGGGAATTTTGTTGTCTTCAATTGGCAAGATAAATTTAGCGTGTTTTTATTACTCTGATTGGGGGACATGTTTTGATTCCATGTGCTCAGTTGTTGGATATATAGTTAAAATTGGAGATTCACTCATCTCTTGGAAGTCCAAGAAGCAAAATATTATCTCGAAGTCTTCAGCTGAAGCTGAATACCATGCTTTGGCAATTGTGACAGTAGAAGTGACATGGATTGCTAGTTTATTGTCTGATATGGGTGTTCAAAAATTAACCCTAGCTAATATGTAATTTGAGAGCAAAGTAGCAATCCACATGGCAACTAATCTGGTATTCCATAAATAGACCAAGCACATTTAGATTTATTGCCATTTTATGCGTGAAAAGTTGTGGCACAAATTAGTTAATTTGCAGCATGTGAGGTCTCACAATCAATAGGCAGATTCACTAACCAAAGCACTTGAGAGTGATGTTTTTAGAAACATGTTAGTCAAGTTGAGAATCTTTGATTTATACGACTCTAATTTGAAGGGGAAGGATTGAGTCATGTTAGATATTATTTGATCTGTATTGTTTGGCCCACTTTGTTAGGTCTACTTCCGTCCATGTATAATCATTGTACGAGTGTCTTTGTGTATAAATAGGTTGAGTCGTCTCTTGTATGGTTTATTTACAAATGTTATTATTGTTCAATAATGAAATGGTTTAGAGTTTCTGACTCAAATAATGAATCCAATACAGAGCCATACACGAACGTTTTATTTACCCACAGAAATGAATTAAAAAAAGGACATTTAGGTGGTCAAGTTGTCATAAAAGAAGCAAGAAAACCACAAACTCCAGGGTTGGGAGCATGATAGGGCGCTTTATTAATTAATGATGAGATTAAGAATAAAGAAGATATCAAAATCAAAAGACGCGGGTGGGTTTGTTCGGTTGTGCGTGTGTGAAGTGTGAGGACGAGAGAGAGAGAGAGAGAGAGAGAGAGAGAGAGAGGCAACAGTGGAAGACTGAGTCAGCAATATTCTGATTGGATCGTCCTCCCAACTTGGAAAGGTCAAGTTGGTCAAAAAAAAAAAAAAAAAAAAGAACACTTGGAAAGGTCAAATTTAAAGATCATTATGCGGATGCCACCATCATACTCTATTCTGCTAATTCCCATGTAAATATATTCTTATTGGAAACTGAATCAATTTCCATTTCATCCTCTCTCTTTCTTAATTTATTCATCACTATCCCCTCCCTCTCTAGCTAGAGTTTTAATATGCTTTTGCATCCAATTGAATTAAGCCTTCTTACCTTTGCTCTGATGAAAATTGTTGACACCTCAATGTTTTTTTCTTTTAAGGCTGTAAACTTTGTTCACAGTGAGCATTTTTAGAACCATCCACTGATAGGATAGAGAATATATCTAAAAAATCTCGCTATACGCGATTGAATTGTCTCTCTAAATCATGTTTTCAGAGAAGTTATCTGCTGTATAAACTTGCCTCACCACAATTACAAATAACACTAGGATCTTTAATTTTCCTGTATTACAGTCTCATATGGTCCTTTTTGCACTGCCGGGTTTTGTTATCAAAAGAAGAATTATTACTTTAGGTGGGGAGAAAGTTAAGAAGAAAGAAAAATGAAGGGAAAGGAGGGAAAAACTCTCCATTCTTAGACTTTCCTTTTAAATATTTATAATTATTATACATGAGAATGATTGTGCTCGGATCGTATTTCGGATTCCAAGCTGCCACCTTCTCAAAACTAAAATTCTTCACGCAACAGGTCGGCCGGCCACAATCTCAGAGAAGAATCATAGACTGAAACAGGATAAAAAATAAGTCAACGTCAACTCTCAAATGAAAGTTAATCTTAACATTAGATGGTCAAGTTTTTCATACCCAAGCAAGGAGGGTATCTTTTTTTTTTTGGTTAAAATAAAAAAAAATAATCGTTAACTTTTCTTACCATAATAAAATAATCAAATTTGTGTTGTACTGTGTATTAAAGGCAATGAATTTGTTCGCTTTAAAAATGCAATCTTTAAGGGGCATTAATTGAATTGATGCGTTGTTCAGAGCCTTTGGCTTCGCAATTCGCATCCAACGGCTCAAGAGAAAGCTTACGCACGGGAGCGATGAGAGCGCGTAAAGTTGAAGCCGAGTGAAAGTGGAAGTGGGCTCCATATGTACGAAGCGAATTTTAGTTTCATTTCAATTTCATTTGCATTTCATTTCGGGGAAGATAATCACGAACGACTAGAAAACAAAACAAACGCTCTGAGAGGAGCCTGTGGGGCCCGCGCGTGTTGAATAATTGACTTTGACCTTCACAGAAACAGCTACGAAGAGAGGAAAAATCACACTTTCCTCTCTTCTTCATCGCTGTGGGCGGGCTGAGAGGATAAAAGGGTGGAGGCTCCTCTCTTTCCTCTTCATTCTCTCAATCGAGGTCTTCTCGATTTCCCACCATCAACAAAAACAAGAGCAAAAGGAAGAAACACTCTGATTTTACTCTTAGCACAGAGAGGTATGTTGTATTCTGGAGCAAGTTTTAGTTCTTGGTGTTTTGATAGGTTATGTTGTTTGAGTTTTCGTGTTCTGGTTTGATCTGGGTCGATGTTGATGATTTCCGAGAAAGGTTGTTCTGGGTGGGTACCAGGAATGAGCTTTGTGGGTCTGATTGTTGATATAAGTTTGAAACTGTTATTTGAAATTTTGTTGTAGGGTTGCTGCTTTCGTCCTTTTTCTTTCTACGATGTTTTAAAATTTTCTTATCAGAATTCTTGTAGAAAGTAGGTATTGCTGGACCAAGTTGTTAGCGTGGGTTGTTGACGATTTTGTTAAGGTTATGTTCTGACTTTTCGTTTTCATAATGGAATTCTAGTGTAGGTTTGTTCTCGGTTGGGTTGGTGAGAAAAATATAGCACAAGAATTGTTAGCCTATAAAATTCGTTTAATATGTTCATCAGGATGTTATCTTGCAGTGCATCCCTCAATATTTGAAAACCTAGGTCCTTCAGATGCCTATGGAAAGTTTTCTTTTTAACGTCTTGTCTAACTTGGGTATTCTGTTTTTTTTTCCCTGTCATTTTTTTGTTGGCCGAATGCCTAACACGGGTATTCAATCATTTACTTGTAAGGAGATGACGTTTTGAATAAAGTGGCTTATTGAGTTTATGCTGTTCGATTATGCAGGAATTTGATATGTGTGGTGGCTCAAAAACTAAACTTTCTCCCTCTACTAACGATATGGAAATTCGGAAGCAGAATCGCGATGTTCTCTGTAACATCTCAAGTTTGCTTGAGCTGTCTGCAACCGATGATCTCAAAACTTTCAGAAGGGAAGTAGAAGAGAAGGGTTCTGATGTGAACGAGGAAAGCTTTTGGTATGGAAGAAGAATCGGATCAAAGAAGATGGGATTGGAAAAGAGGACGCCTCTCATGGTTGCTTCTTTATTTGGAAGCACCGAGGTGCTGAAGTATATTATTGAAACTGGCAGAGTTGATGTGAACCGGGCCTGTGGTTCTGATAAGGTCACAGCTCTTCATTGCGCTGTTGCTGGTGGCTCTGAATCCTCGCTGCAGATTGTTAAGCTCTTGCTTGACGCAAAGGCAGATCCTGACTGCCTTGATGCTAGCGGAAATAAGCCTGTTAATTTGATTGCTCCTGCCTTTAGTCCTTCATCCAACTCACGAAGGAAGGCGATGGAGTCCTTGCTGAGAGGCGATGGATTACTTCAAATTATTGAACAGGAGGCTGAGCCACAGAAATCTACAGCTCTGTCTTTATTATCGAAAGAAGCAGCAGAGAAGAAAGAATATCCTGTTGATATATCTTTGCCTGACATAAACAATGGTATATATGGAACGGATGAGTTCAGGATGTACAGTTTCAAGGTGAAGCCGTGTTCAAGGGCATACTCCCATGACTGGACTGAGTGTCCATTTGTTCATCCTGGGGAGAATGCAAGGAGGAGGGACCCACGAAAGTATCCTTACAGCTGCGTTCCTTGCCCAGAGTTCCGCAAAGGAAGCTGCCCCAAGGGGGATGCCTGTGAGTATGCTCATGGTGTTTTTGAATCATGGCTCCATCCTGCTCAATACCGAACGAGGCTTTGCAAGGATGAGACTGGATGCTCACGGAAAGTTTGCTTCTTTGCTCACAAACCTGAGGAGTTACGCCCTGTTTATGTTTCCACTGGGTCAGCAATGCCTTCACCAAAATCCTTTTCGGCTAGTGCACTTGACACAACTGTTATGAGCCCATTAGCTCTTAGCTCCTCTTCTTTGCCAATGTCAACTGTTTCGACACCACCCCTGTCTCCTTTGGCTGCTTCGTCTCCCAAGAGTGGAAGCTTGTGGCAGAACAAAATAAACCTCACCCCGCCATCCTTGCAGCTGCCAGGCAGCCGGCTGAAGGCTGCCTTAAGTGCTAGGGATCTTGATTTGGAAATGGAACTGCTTGGGCTAGAAAGTCAGGCTAACCAGCAGCAGCAACAGTTGATAGAAGAGATAGCTCGACTCTCTTCCCCATCTTTCCGGAGCAAAGAATACAGTAGGATAGGTGATTTGAAGCCAACTAACCTTGATGACCTTCTGGGATCTGTTGATCCTTCTGTTCTTTCTCAAATTCATGGACTATCAGCACAACCTTCAATGCCTACTCAACTGCAATCTCCAAATGGGCTTCAGATGCACCAAAACATGAACCACCTTCGTGCAAGCTATCCCACCAACCTTCCTTCCTCACCGGCAAGGAATTCCTTGGGTTTAGGGTTTGACTCATCGTCAGCTGTGGCAGCAGCAGTGATGAACTCCAGATCTGCAGCCTTCGCAAAGCGAAGTCAAAGTTTTATTGATCGTGGAGCGATATCGCCCCTCCATTTTGGCCAATCTGCAGCTTCCAACACCGCTTGCAGGGTTTCCTCTACACTTTCAGATTGGAGATCCCCTGATGGGAAATTGGATTGGGGCATGAATGGAGACGAGCTGAACAAACTGAAGAAATCTGCTTCTTTTGGGTTCAGAAACAATGGAAACACTAACACAACCTCGGCACGGTCTGAAAATTTTGAGCCGGACGTGTCGTGGGTCAATTCGCTAGTTAAAGATGTCCCCCCTGAGAAGCAGCAGCAATTTGATCCCAGTAGAGAGAGGCTTTCGCCGTGGGTGGAGCAGCTGTATAGAGAACACGAGCAGATTGTTGCATAAGCAATGGCTGCTATGGCGACACTCCTTGATTATTCTGACGAAGTTTATTTATTTATTTATTTATTATTATTTTGAATTTTTATAACTATTCCACTTTACATAGAGAATAGTCAGAGATAGGACAAGGAGTGCTGCAAAGTACAAAACCCTGTTTAATCCAGATATTTGGAAGGAAGAGTAGCAACATTCTCCTGTAATTGTATTATCTGATCATTTCTCCTTTTCTGGGAGTCTGGTATCATCTTTAGCATGGAAAATTTTATCGTCGCTAAAGGAGCATGTCTCTTTTATGCACATCTGTGCAAGTACAACTTATGAAATCTTTGTCCTTTTCAGTTAAGTATGAAATTGTCATTTATTTCTCCTACTGCTTCTGAAACTTAATGCTGCGCTACGATTCCGTAAGAAGATGAAGATAAACACCAGATCATGGCGTATAGATTAAGCTACGTAACGGGGTGCGTTGGAAGAACGATGGACGATATGAGTCACTAGGGTGTAGGCTTATGCGTCAAGAAAGATGCCTAGTCTTTGATTGAAGCAAATGGTTTTGAACGTTGCGTTTGAGACAGCTGGAAGCTGATACATTGATTGAGCGATTAAGTATCAAGTGATTTTTTCTCAATCATATAAAAATGTCATTTCTTCCAATTGATTGAGCGATTAAGTATCAAATGATTTTTTCTCAATCTTATAAAAATACCATTTCTTCCAAACCACAATATAAGTCATTGTTGCTTGAGTGACATATATTAAAAAAAAATTGTTAACATTTTAATTTTTTTAAAATTTCTACATCTTTTTAATTGTGTCTTTGAAAATGATAAATAGAATAATTGACTTATTTAAAATAATTTTATTAATTATTTAATAAAGTAAGAGTGCAATTAAAAAATACGTTAAAGACTTGTCCACTGTTTTATATTTTGAACTAAAAAAAGTTTTTAAAAAATCACTTAATGGAAGGAGTACTTTATTGGCATGGCATGAACATGAATAAAACAAACAAGACCCTCAAATCTAAGTTTTCAACCAGTTCAAGTTGTGCTAGCAAGGAACTATTAAATATAAGAAAATTTTGCTGAATCAGACATTTATGCATAAAGATTAGAGATAAATGTGTGTGTGGGTGCGCGGGAATGTATTTGGTTGGCAGTTTGGAGGAGAAGGAAGTGGGACAGGTGTCATAAGTGAAGGAAGATGAGGAAACTGCATGGGATATCGAGCAACACTATTTAAAACGAATGAACCCCACAAGATGCATATGCCCTTGTATGAATCCATTTGAAATGCTTGCAGATTTATATATTCATGATTCTCTCTCACATACACACTAACTCAAAAGCTGATTTTAATAGGATAAAACGGAAAATAATTTTTTTAGTCCCAAAAGTTTTTTCCCGTTTATTGATTCAGCCATGAATTTTGAATAGGAATAATTTAGTTCATTTAATTTCTTGATTCAAAGCAACTCAATTTTTATAATTTGGATGTGTTTGGATGCTCTTAAATAATCAATCATGACTCCTCAAACTCCACTTTAAAAAAAAAAAAAATCAAAACATTCCATTTTTTGAAGTTGGGTTTGATAAATAATCATGGCTTTGAAACTCCATTTGATAATCCCCATTTAATAATCAATTTTATTATATTGAAATCAAAACACAGCCTTTATTGACTCGAATAACTTATTTTTTTATAGTTTTTAATCTTTATAATTTATTAAATCAATAAATTATAAGTACTAAATTGCATTTAATAAAAATTTAAGAACTAAATTGATAATTAAAAAAAATTAGAAATAAAAATTTATACTCCCTTCTTTAAAAAATGTAAAGTATTTTTAACTAAATTTCATCCCTCAATAAAGTAACTACCTACTTTCAACTAACTATATCTTTTTATATTTATCCTCATTAAACATCCTATAATAAATATAAAGTCACTGTTAATAGAGATACTTTAAAAAAAATAATGATTATATTTTAAAAAATTAAAAATATTTTATATTTTTAAACATTTAATTTTTTTAAAAAATATTATATATTTTTTAACGAAATGAGAATTACTTTTATAAAATAATGAAGTGGACAAAGGAGAAAAAGTTGGTGATGGGTAGCAGTTGAGGTGAAGGATGGTGCTTCGTGGAGCGTGCGTTAGGATGGGGTAATAGACAATGGTGAATAGACAAAGGAAGATGAGAAAGAAGAGTACAAGTTTGAAACGGAGGCTAATGTTCGTGGGAAAAAGGTTGTCATGGAGTCTGAGGTAACACGTGGGACCCAGCATTTGGACATCTGTGCTGGATAGTCCAATGAGGGAATGAATTGGAGCCCTCACAGGCATGAGTTGGTTTTGTTGAGTCCAGCAACCCCCACTATCAAAGCAAGCATTAGCAATTTTAAAAAACATGCAAAGGCCACTTTTTTGGTTTCTTCTCTGAAGCCTCCTCCTTTCATGCCTTCTTCCTTTTATTTTCTCTCCTCCTTCCTAGACTCACTCACTCACTATCCCTCCTTTTATGCTGTGAACCACTTGATGATACAACTACTATAATAATACTTCTTTAGATAATTTAATACTTTATAAAGCATGCATTGCTAGAATACTATCCTTCTTTACCCAGGTTTGACAATATTATGTATTAGTTTTTTCTTGTTATTATGTATTAGTTTTTTCTTGTCACAAATGATGTGACTCTAGTACTTCATATATAATTAAAAAAAAAATTCTCTAGATTTAAGATAGTATTTTATACAATGATTTTTTTTTCAAAAAGTATAATTTTTTAGTTGTCGAACTAAAAAGTAAAAAAGAATCACCATAATATCGTATGTATATATAATGTTAATTTCATTGAAAAAAATGTAAAATAATACATATATATTGAATGTCAGAGAATTAGTTCAACTATATCACTTTGACTTAAGTAAATGAAGTCAAGATTGTTGGAATTGCAGGTTGCAAACTGGTATTAAAGCAACCCAGCTGGTGGAAGAATTTCTTAGACGAGACAAATGTAATATACAGTGCAAGTAAAGTGGTTGAACTTTCACAGCTTTCTTTTTGCCAACATTTGCTTCTATCGTTGATAAGTCGCCTTTCCTCGTTTCCCGTCAAGATTAATAATTGTCACTAAAAGATTCTCAAGAATAGCACATGCCGAATCATAGGGTCCTGTAGAAATTCTCCTTTTATTCTGAAATGTTCAGTGTTGAATTGGGCACAATTCTCCTTGAATAATAATGGTCTTCGAACATGCCATTACCATCCATTGGAAGAATTATTTTGTGCATTTGTTCTCCCGTGATGTAACCAGCATCTGAGTTACTGTAGCTAATATGTCGGATAAGCAGCACTTGATACTCGTTCTCAACATAAACTATCCAACAATTAATCACAAACTGAAATTCCTTTTATGTCTAAGACCTTGTCCTTTATGAATTATGATGATCAGTTCATGGTAATTTAGATCTAAGATCTTGCTGTTTCTAATCATTATTTTTAAGTGCACGCATGCATTTAGCTAGCAATTTCAATACCTTATATATGATTCTGCATACAAATTTTCTTTTCACAATGCAGCTTGTGCTGTTCTTTTCAACCACTACAATGATATCAAATGCTATACAATGATATAGCTTCATAATCTGCCATCCATTTCAATACGTCATCACACACATACCTCGAAAGAATGTGAGGGAAAGAAAGAAAAAGACCAACGCCTTCTCCCTCCCTCCCGAAAAATCTGCGTGCACAATACATGTAAATACTTTCCACAATTCAAATTTGATCTTCGTATGCTAGCCAACACGTCAATTGTACGGATAACATCACGGCCGCTGCATGTCTCTGCATGGGATGCACATAAAGATTTCTCCTCTGTAACATAAATAGGTGAAAGCTGACTCAGATAGGGTTGACCTCCTTGCATGATGAGAGATCTATGCCCTAACATTTAGGTTTTAATAACCGCATTTAAAACAGCTACCTGTGAAGAACACCCAGCGAGTCCAGTTCAACTTTTATAAGAGTCTATTAAGATATCCTGATTTAGATGAAGGACGGTGCAACTAGTCATATCTGCCACCATTTACGGTTTTCCATTCTTTTGGCAAGTTCTTTTGCCATTGATGCAAAGTCTTCCGCCCCACTTTGCAGTTCTTCAGTATGTTGGCTGAGCATCTAGTATGGTTTAAATGGTGAGTAGAGATAGTCAGAAAATAGGAAGACTGCATTGAGTCGGTAAAATTTGGGAAAACTGTCTGAAAAATATAATAAAGTATTTTTTTCTGAAATTTCGAAGTAAAACTTTCCAGATTGAAGTGTAGTGAACTGTCTTGGGGAGAATTTCATGGAAGTTTCTTCTAAGGGGTACAAGCAGATTCTAAGAGTGGTAGTTTTGTGTAGCATACAGTTATTGGAGATTGAATTCAAAAAACAAGAGACCTGAAGTTTTTCTTGGCGTTCAAGAAGCTTATCCTTTGCAAGTGCAGCAGCTGCAGAGGCATCCTGAAACAACTCAAGATGTCAAATATGCAATCTATAATAAATAAGACTTACAATTTGTCACATCTCAGGTTTACCCCAGCCCCAGCTTTTCTATATTTGGCCTTGATTTCTTCTGCTGTTCTTTGTCTTGGTTTTGTATCACTGCTTGCACCCTCAAGTAATTTCTGTTTGTCTCCTCCTTTTCCTTTGTTGTCTGTTCCTTTTCCTCTATCTGCAAAGCATCGGTTCATCATTCAAATGATAACAAACTTGAAGGGGAAAATAATAATAGATATACCTGTCTTGTCACTATTACTTTTCTGAGGATAGTTAACAACTAGAGGTTCGTCAATGTGAATTTCATCTGCACCAAAATAACGTGGACATTCAGAAACTTTGGTATAAGTGGCGGCAGAAGATGTTTAGAACAAACCTAAGTCAAGCTCAAATGGATCTTGCTTATCAGCTGTGGCTGAGGAAGCCTTTAAGAAGGGGGGACAGGTGAAAAGTTTTTCTAAGTTTGCAGAACTATAATGATGGACTGCTTGATTTGCCTTCTCCATTTTACTCGCTCTCAAGTTCTTAACAACATTGACCAAGATACCTGGTAATTGCCGCCCCTACAGCAAAAGAGATTTACAAATGCTTAAAAATATATTAAAAACAACAAAAGTAAAGGAAACTAGAACAAACTGGACCTGTTCTTCATTCTGGTTTGAAGGTAAGCTTGCTATGGCACCCACAGCAGCTGCAAGGACTCTATCATGTAGACAAGGCAATGACTCTGGAATCCTACAGAAATTCAAAATTTTAAATCAGGTGCACCGTTTTGAATAGGAATGTTTATTC